TGAACTGCCACAGTCCCTGCTGGGGTATGCACTGTGTGTCCTCCATTCTTCATAGCAAATAGTTAAGTAGTTTGCTGCTTTTTTCAGGGTGTCCTAAGAATTCATTTTATTGAAGCTCAGGATCTTCAGGGAAAAGACACCTACCTTAAAGGCCTCGTCAAAGGAAAATCAGACCCCTATGGAATTATCCGAGTGGGCAACCAAATCTTCCAGAGTAAGATTATCAAAGAGAACCTTAATCCAAAGTGGAATGAGGTATATGAGGTAAGCAGTGGGAGCCATATATAGTAACTGAGTGAGGGCACTAGAAGTCTCATTCCAGATCTGTCACACAGAAGTATGGCTAACGTGGACCATTGTTTAAAGTTTTTTAATTTCCCATTTTGAGTAAATTTTGTACTTTCTTTTTTAATTAAAAAAAAACATGTAATGTGAATACAAGGGATTTTTAAGCATTAGTTATGTAAGGCATATATTGTCTTAATATAAATAAGTTTTTCTGGCTTTAATATTACATATGGCTAAAATTTAAGCTTTAAAATATGTTGTTTTATACATTTTTTCATTAAATATCTAGACACTTTTACATCTCAGTGGATAGATAACTGCATGGTTATTGGCTTTGTTTTTGTTATATTTGTTTCCTTTTGCTTTGTTTTATTTTGTTTATGTTCATTTTTTTCTCTACATTTTATTTCCTTTCCTTGAAATACTATATGCATGTATTTCAGTCTGTCCTGCAACTCATGATCCTCCTGCTTCTGCCTCCCAAGTGCTGTGATTAGAGGTGTGTGTCACCATACCCAGCCAGGTTCGGCCTTACTTTTAATAGCCATTCCACTGAATTTCTTTACCTGCAGAGGTCTGGGCCTCTAAGTACAGTACTATGGCCAATGTTCTTCAAGTGCAGCGTCAAATGTAGCCTTAAATTGCTGGATCCAAAATTGAGGTTTTTAAAGAACAGAGTTGTCCTTGAGACTAGTAGTGCATATGCCCCTTTCTTGTCACCCTATGCTCCCTGTCCCCTTGTCAGTTCTGTATTCTTTGAGTGGCTAAGTGGCTAGTGGTTTTTCAAGGTAAGCATTTGGATGGAGCTACTTCAGATCTTAGAGCTATTTTCTGCATCTTCACTTGGGCTGAGGCCTTAGATAGGCCTGTGGTAATCGCACACTGCCACCCTGTTTCAGGGCCCATTGATAAGGAATTCAGGTAACCAAGAAACATGCCCAGCCGACTTGCTGTGGGCAAGTATTCTAGAATGGCCCAGTCATCAAGAAGTATGTGTGGTCTGACAGTAAGAAAGTACACCTTTAAAACTGCTGACTGCTAGAGAAAAGTACATGGTGATATTTGTTATAATCACCATACTTAGTACTTGACTGTGGTAGTAAACCTGCAGTAACTACGAACCATTAATTTTCAGGCTTTAGTCTATGAACACCCTGGACAAGAATTGGAGATTGAACTCTTTGATGAAGATCCAGATAAGGATGACTTCTTAGGAAGGTGAAGCAAAAATTTGGGAACACCGTCATTGATGCAGTCTCTCTCTCTCTCTCTCTGACTGATGCAAGCTTTAAAATCCATTTATTTACACATACGCATTTTCCATGGCTTTTATGTGTAGATTTTTTTTTACCAGATATTGTTCTAAAATGATTTTACTTCTAAAAAATCCATTATAGCAACAATAGCACTAGGCCTGATTCCACCAGCCTGTTAGACCATGCAAATTAGAGGCCCCAGCAACTATGCAGAGCCCCTCTTTGTGCAGGGAGGTCTATAAATACGTCCTTCTAAGCTGTAAATGTGGTCTTAATTTTAAGCTGTCTCAGTTTTCCAGGGTATAGTCATTTACATTGTACCCATGTATTGGAGTAGTAAATACTGATTTATTTGCTTCTGTTGAAGAATTAATATAGCTGTGAAAAATGGGCTTTCAAAATGCATTTCTGAGGCTAAGAGGCAGCTGAGTGGTTGAGAATGCTTGCTGTTTGTCCTGAGGACCCAAGCTTAGTGCGTGGGACTCACGTCAGATGGTTCACAGCTGCCTGAAACTCCAGCTCCAAGAGCCTTGATAATGCCTATAATTCAAGCACAGAGGAAACAAAGACAAATGTATCCTTGGGGATTATTGGGGCCAGTCTAAAATTGGTTAGTGAGTTCCATCCAAGGGTTGTGAGATACCTTGGTCTCAAGAAAACAATACCAAGCCGGGTAGTGGTGCACACACCTTTAATCCTAGCACTTGGGAGGCAGACACAGGTGATCTCTGTGAGTTCAAGGCCAGCTTAGTCTACAAGAGCTAGTTCCAGGACAGGCTCCAAAGCTACAGAGAAACCTTTTCTCGAAAAACCACAAAGGAAAAAAAAAGACCATACTGTAAGGAAAATAAATGAGGGTGTCCCCTCTGTATTTAAATCTGCACACATAATGAATGGATATGCATACACACATCTAAAACATGTCTATCTAAGGTTATTTAAATGATTTTATTTGAGGGGAGGGGATAGTAGAGGATTAGATTACATTGGAGAAGTTCATGCCTCATCAAGTATGGCCTTGTGTGTTGTGCTCTGACCAGAATCGCTAAGACCCACATGTTGTGCTGTAAGTTCAGAGTATGTGACTGTGTACACCACTTAAGTAGGACCTGGACCATGATCAAATCAAATATGCTATGTAAGCGTGTAGATGGGAGGTCATTAAAGCAACTAGAAGCATGTTGTCATTGACTAGGGCTGAGAGCGGACAGATTAAGAGATATGTTCAGAAGTATGTGTAGATTAATCCCTTTTTCCCCGTTTCTGTGGAAGTAGTGACATGGTTGATTTAGAGTAGGATCGTTTGATGATAAGAGAACCTACTCTCTGACCTACTAGTGGATTTGATATAGTGTGAACTTATAATTCATTATGCAAATAGCTGAATTCCCCAGTCATGACTGGTAGCACCAAGGGATGCCATGTAAAAACCTATTAGCTAGCCAGGCATGGTGGTGCACACCTTTAATCCCCATACTTGGGAAGCAAAGGCAGGTGGATCTCTGTGAATTCAAAGTCAGCCTGGTCTAAATAGTGAGACTGTCTCTCAAAAACATAAATAATCAGCTAGAGCTGGGGAGTTTCTTGCAAAGCATTTGCCATGTAAGCATGAGAATCAGTTCAGACCCAGAACCCTCAAAAATGCCAGAAAAGCATGACAGCTGTCTGTACTTCTAGCACTTGGAAGACTGGGTGTGCCCAGAACAAACTGGCCAGTTAATTAGTCATATCAGACTCTGAGTTCAGTTGAGAGATACTTTCTTGATGCATATGGTGAAGAGTAACTGAGGAAGACCCCTGATGTCAGCCTCAGGCCTGAACACGCGCATGCACATACATAGTTAGTTCTGGCCTTCTTGTGTGTGCTCAATATTTTGATCACAAAAATTTGACTTTTTTCTTTCTTACCCTTCTTTTGATTTCCTTGGGCATAGATTATAGAAAGCCTTGAGGAAAGCAGCTTGTTTCCTGGAAAATTGTATAGCATAGTTTGCATTTCTAGAACTCTTTGCCACAGACAATACTTAAGTTATTTTAGCTGGAAGAAGTATGTTTCTGTGTTCTAAAAATTTTTTTTTGTTGTTTCATTCCTATAGTCTTATGATTGATCTTATTGAAGTTGAGAAGGAGCGCCTTTTAGATGAAGTAAGTTTTCTCTGATTTTGGCCCATTTAATGAACACTGTAGGTACTACTTGTATGCCAGAGTCACTGTGACCCACTGCTATTGCCCACCTACCCAGTATGAGAATCCTAGCTACTGCTATAGGAACAATATTTGCTTTGTAAACATCTGACGTAGGGTATTGCTTAGTAGTAGTATGCTTGCTTAGCATGCGCAAAGCCCTGGGTCAGGAAGTATGGGTAAGCACAAAATGTAAAACTGGCTTTATATTGTAGACAGACTGTGATAGCTTGTAGGCATTAGGGCAGAGCTGTAAGAAGCTCACAGTATGGGAATTTTCACTATAGTGGAGTGAATAGCAGAGATGCATGGTGCTGTTAGTATGTAAAGGCACCTGTAAATGAACTAATAAGTGATCCATAATACCATAAAAATAAAATAAAATGAATACATAAAGGGAAACAGTACAGTAACTTCCAAAAGATCCAGAGATGGGTGAGACTTCTTTTGTAAGAAAAGCCTAACTAACCAAATCAGTGTTGGGACTTGGCTGGTTCACGGCAGCACTCCTCCCTCCAGGAGTGCGTGTTCTCCACTTGTAAGTGCTTCTCAGCTGTTGGGTGCTAGTCACGAGCACAGTGGGGAAGAGGATAGACAGGATAGAACGTGTGGCAGTTCCCTTTTAACACTGACTGTTTTGTGGTCTTTGTTTTAGGACTTTTATGCTGAAACAACTGTTTTATTAATTGATATATAGCAGTGAATAAAACAAGTACCTTGACTTGTTCAATTCTGCTGTTGAGTATTTGGGAATTAGTGTTATACTCTGTTGGCTTCTACATTCTATGTGAGTCCATATACAGAAGCCTTGTTAGTGCTGGACAGTACTGGAACTCTTGAACTTGTATGTGATGGTAGCACTCATTACATCATGAGGGTTTTGTTAGAGCAGGTGAATATTTTGAGCATGGTCTCCAGCCAGCCCTGGCTCTTAGAACATGAGGCATAAATTGACAAGAGCACTCCTTCAGTGCTAGTTAAGACCTGTTAGTGTCACAGTGTCAGTGAGCACCTTGAAACATTTTTAGACTGGGTTTAATTAGAATTTTTTATTCAGAACACTTTCACTAAACTTAATCACTTTCTTTTCAGTGGTTCACTCTGGACGAGGTTCCCAAAGGAAAGCTGCATTTGAAGTTAGAGTGGCTCACACTGAAGTCAGATGCGGCGAACCTGGATAAGGTGCTGTGCAGTGTCTTCCTTCATGACCACCATTCCTGATGATTAGCACCAATGTCTTTGTGTTGGTCCTTGTTTAAAAATTTTATCCCAGTAATTTTACTCATTATGCCACAAGTTATCATAGTAGTGGACAGGAATATGCAATGTATAGGTCATTATTCCTGTTCTGAAACCTTAGAATTTTGTACTTGCTGTAGCACAGGGATTTGGGGGCTACATGTCATCCTAGTACTTCATTTTAATTGATTGTGTGGAATGATAGTCTTGTCATTTGGAAGACGTCAGTTCAGTTCTTCTGTGTGTATTAGATTATTTCTTACTTTTATTTTCTTGAATACAGTCAAAAACAGTGTGCACTCCTCTAGACACACACCCACTGATACTTTTTTCACCTTGCAGGTGCTGGCAGACATCAGAGCTGATAAGGATCAAGCCAATGATGGTCTTTCATCTGCACTGCTGATTTTGTATTTGGATTCTGCAAGGAACCTTCCGGTAGGTAGTATAGAGCTAACGCCTGTGAGTGCTTTCCTTACTTGGAAACTACTACTTTGTTCAGACACAATATATATCACCTAATCTTGTGTGGCAGCAGCAGAGAGGCACAAGGTAGCATTTACTTTGCACATGTGTATATTTATATCTAATTATTACAGCCTAGTTACCACGAGGTGACTAAATGAAGCAGCTCTGTTCACAAACCCACAGTGTGTCTTAGCTGTAGAACAGCAGGTCATGAGCTGCTGAGCTGTGACTGTCCTCAGGCTTTAAGGTGGCGCGTGACTGATACCACCAGGTGGGTGTACTGACCTTCAGGTACAGAACAGAGACACAAACAGTGCCAAGTAATAATGTTTAGCCTAAAAACCTATTTATTTGCTTTTTTTGGTTTCATAGGGGAACATATAAAGTAATCCGATCATTTAGGGATAGTTCTAAATCTTACACTGTCCAGGTGTAAACCCCACTAGTTAAAGTCATGTTCTCATATAAATGGTACATTGTTAGAAAACTTTTTGGGTGCCAGTGTGTTTGCATACTAAGGCATTCTCTTTGTCATTGTGTCAATAGCCAGTGTCATTGAAAGAAAGTTCATTGTCAACAGTTACAGGGGTTTTACCCACCAAGATTGCCCATTGCATAATTCTCCATTCCTAGTAAATGCTCAGTCACATAAGTGCATTTGTGAATAGACTCCAAACAAAAGCGTAGAAGCACTCTGCTTGCCCTTATCCTCGGTCTCCCTTGAATTTTTATCCTGATGGCTTATGAAATTGCATCATTTAACACCTTTTAGTTTTTGAAAAATGTCCATTTACTTGAGCCTTGTGACAAAAATGAAATAAATGTTCTTTGTCCATTAATATTTTTTATTTCAACCTAGCAACTGAAATAGTTTTGAGCATTTTGTAATAGTAATATATGGTTGTCTCTTTGCCAATATTATACCCTTTCTTTTAATGAAGTTTCCTTGTCTAATTTTTACTACTTAAGTTCTTACATTTCTATTGAAGAACTTAATCTTTTGACCAGTCTTTCCACCTAAAGTCTGTGAGTTTACCTAGTTTTATTTCAGTTTGGGAATATTTACTTCATTATTATTTAGCCTTTCAATAGAATTCCTTACACAGTAGAGATTTCTGCTTTTGACCACAATAAAGTTTGTTATAAAATGCCTGATTGTCAGGCTGGCAAAATGGCCCAGTGTATAAAAGGTACTTTTAACCAAAACACGCATGATGGGAGGCAAGAACTTTGGGTTGTCATCTGACTTCCACTTGCATGCTCTGGGAATTCCCATACCCCAAATAAATGTTAAAAAAAATGTAAAAAGTGAGTTTGTTGCATAGTTTAGATATAAAAAAGAGTGGTTGATTAAGTGGGAAGGGCTTGGGCTTGTCTGTAGAGCTGTGTCAGATGTCACATGAGCTCAGGAGACAGGGAATGCACTGCTCTTCTATCCCAGGGTACTTTACTCACAGTGTGCTGTGGCTCATCAGAGGCAAAGGGTCCACAGAGCCATCCCTGCTTTTTGTTGTGTTAATTGGGAGGCTTTGTTGGCCAATCCCTGTGTGTCCTGGGGCCCTTTGACTCTCTGCACCCTGTTTTTTTGTGCTTCTGGTGTGTACCCACTGACCACAACCCACCATTCTTTGCTTTCTCTTCCTGTCTCCACTTTCCTAAGAGTATCTACGAGGGAAACTTTGGGTGTGGCTACTTAAAAGAGAGGCGAGCGTCGGGACTAGTGTTTTGTGAGAATACTACCTCAGTCTATAGAACACTATTTGTGAGTCCTCCAGCTCCTTCTTCTGTGTTCAGTGAAGACTGCCCAAGTGTGGCCTGGAATTTCTGTGCAGTCTGCTCATTGGAATGATGTGCATGCTCTTTTCATTTTCTTGCATGACCTCAGTTACTGTGTCTTCATTTTATGTTGGTTTTGTCAAATGTGACTCTGCTGTGATGCTGGAGTACATCTGACATGAGCTGAACTAACCTGAACTAACTCTACTGCTGCTGCTCCATAGAGTGTTAGAATAAGTCCTCTGAGGAAAAAACAAAGCTAAAAGCTGAAGTTGGTTTTGGGGTTCATGCTCTAACTTTCACAAAACACTTCTAAATTCACTTTTTTCATTCTCACCAAGAGGAGCAGCATTAGAACTTGGGCTGTCTTCCAGTCCATTCCACCCAGTTCTCTCTGTTACTGCTCATGGTCACATGAAGTCAGAAGTCCACCCATCTCTGTGAGAGCCTGCTTCTGCCACATGGCCTAGCCAGAGTCTCTGGAGGAGAAGAAGAAAATGAGAGTGGGTTCATGATTTATTTCTTTCTAGGAACTTGAAAGAGTTTACTTACTGAAGTATATAATTGAGGATTTTATTTTAATCTCATCACATTTGCTTCCATAGCCTGTCTGGTGCTGCTACTCCCAGTGCTATTCAGGGTAATCTGGTGGCTGCTGGGTTCATCCCCTCTGGGGTCATAGAAAACTACACTTAAGACCTTCTAGTCTACTAATTAGTGTAGAAAATCATCTTTCTGGTTTGTTCTATAATTAGTTAGATTTCTGAAGACCACTTATCCTTTGATCTGATTAGTGACCAGTCTTTGCTCTTTTGAGATTCTGATTCTGTTTACAAAGGCTTTCCATGTGTGTGCCCAGTTATTCTTACTTCTAAGAAGGGGCTCTAGGGTACCATACTTTTAAAATAGGTGTTTAGCCCTATTTTATAGACAAGAAAAATCAATACCCTGAAGGATAGGCAAGTTACACTAGTAAATAGGCAGCACTTGATGTCCCTAACTGTGCACTCAGCCTGTGGTGTAGAGGGTGTCCCTTTTCACCCTTGCATTGTAGAGGTTAAGGTGGGAACATTTCTTATTTTAGTATTGTGCCACCTCAGAAACATAAGTCAAAAGGAAGGCAGTTAGAATGACAATGCCAGTGTATATACTATCAGTTTAGAAAAATGCTTTATGCATTTGTTTCTTAGGTAAAATGTCCTCACCAACTCATACAAGGCCACCCTTCTGGGTATTTCTGTCAATCTATCTCCTGAAACTTTTCTAGGTCTTTTTTCTCAATCCACAACTGCTTCCTTTCATTGAAAATATTTTGGAGTCGGATTCTTGAATTGCCTTGTAGCTCTGACATCAGTGGTCAGACTCAGAATTTATTCTCTTCATTGTCCAAGTGACATTGAGCTTTATGATTAGGATATGCACACCACAAAAAATGTTCTTTACAGAACATGTATGCACTTACTTTTTACTTACTGATTTCCAGTATAAAATGAAATCACTTTCTTGGTCTTTTCCTAAAGGAAAAGCTTTTTCATAAGTGGCTGCAGCCCATAACTTTTTCACTTCTAACCTGTTCAGAGTACCTTCAGTTTCTACTCCATTGTTGTCCTCTGTATTGCAGATGATTTCTTTTTAAAGTAGACTTAGGATTTACCCTCTCTGGCTTCAGCTTGGCTGTGTCCTCTGACTTTGGCACCCAGCATTAGAATGTTAGCCTAACTTGGTAACTCGTGTGTGTTGAGCACTTTGCAGCAGCCATATATGTATTTCACAGATAAGAAAAGTAACTCGAAAGACATTAGACTAGAGATCGGAGACCTTGTCACTGTACAGTGTTCACTGCTCAGACTCTGTTAATTCTGTAACTGGAGATGATATGAGATGAGTGGTGTTTCCATGGTGCTTACCTTACATGTGTGAACATAGCCATGTAATAGCTACCACTGTGCAGATCTTTAGTGACAAAGGTACTTTCTACAGGTAATTTTAGGTTTTGTTTGTTTGAGACAGGGTCTCATATATTCCAGTCTATCCTGAAACACTTTATATTATAACCACTGAATTTATGATCATCCTGCTTCTCCTTGCACGTGCCGGGATCATAGGTAAGGACCACAATTTCAAGTTTATGAGGTGCTGGGTTCTGAACCAAGAGCTTCCTATGTGCTAGGCAAACACTCTCAAGTGACCTATATCCCTAGTGCTTGGTTCGTCGTGAGGGAAAGAAAGGACAGGTACCACTGTCTCCAATGATTGAGAGGCCCAGGAGTACATGGCATTGTGGTGCTTGACTTCTGAACCTTACACCTGGACACCTGCCCCATGCACTTGAGTGACTTGTCTTCTCACCTGCATGCTATGCAGGCTTGTGACCTCACACAGCTATTCTTGCATTCCTGATTCACACTACCACTGTTCTCTTTGTTTCTCAATAATTGATGTTAGGATGACAAGTGCATTGGGTTCAGCTGTTTGTATCTAGCGCACACTTCAGGAAAGGCCCTTGTTACATCTAGAGAGTGTCATTTGGTCTGAACCAAAATGCATTGTTGGAACTCCTTAGGGAATGCTTTGGGCTTCATCCAAAGATAGAGAAAGTAGGATCTGAGTCTTTGGAGAGCCCTGTAGGCTGTTTGAATAGTCTAAATTTAGACCCATGTAGTTTGGCAAGAGCCTGGGTTGGAGCTTTTACCTTCTCATCTGCTTCCTACTGTAGGAGACCTGGAAGCTATTTCTCCATCTTTTTTCATACATTTTCTGTTTAATAAGACATTAAGAAAAATTTTTAGTTGAGAATCAAATTAAATATACCATTTTAAAATAGTTAAAACTAAAAAGACAAAAACTTTTAACCTCAAATGTTTATTCTGGGAGCTTCCAGAAACAAATTGTCTATTTGAGAGTGAACAAACAACTAACTGAAAAAAATCAGTCAGAAAGACACGTACCCTATAGTAGTAGACTGTGTATTTAAATCCAGGAGAAACTCTTAAGATGGCCCTATTGGCCTGTGCTTCCATACCTGGGAAAGATGGGGAGTCCAGGGAGTTTGTAAAGAAATAGGCTCCATCTCTGGATGACGCTATAGCAAGAAAGCATGTCTCAGCAGGCATAGCAGTGGTGTGGGCCGCTGCTGGTGGGACTAGCTCCAGCAGTATGGAAAGAAAGCATGGTCTCTGCTTTGCTTCAGATTAAACCTCTGATTTGGGGTGACACTAGGGTTTCGGGCAAAGGATAGTAAGCAGAGCCTTTCCTAAGTCACACTCTTGATTTCTGCAAACACTGAAAGTCAGAGATGAAGAAGTGAAGGGTTACCAAAGATGAGGAAATGTGTTGTGATATTTTAGGTTTTCTGTCACTCTGAGGTAAAATCTTGAGCATAAAGGCAAATTTGGGAGTTTGTATTTTTGGTCTGATTTAAGTATTTGTTTATTCTCATGAACTTTTGTGTCATTAACCTTACATAAATTCCTCATTGCATGTTTTATTAACCCTTGGTGTATTCATTTTCTTCTGACCTGAAAGAATAACCCATTACACTTTAACCCCGGTGTTTTGAAGAAGTCTGCAGTTCAGAGAGCTTTAAAGGTAAACAAAGTGTCTCCTTGAGGCTGCAGTGCTAATCAAGACATATTGAAAGAGATGGTACTTTGGTTTTCCTAAGTGTGTGGGCAGGTTACTTTCCACCCTAGTTAATAATTAACTGTCCAATAGAAGAGATCTGACTTTTGTTATCCAAGAATTTGTATTTAGAAGAAATTGCATCAACCAAACTTAAATTTAAAAGTTCCAATATGAAGTTTTAGATTTTCATTCTTTCTCTTACAGCCATTGAAATATTGTGTTTTGTTTGAACTTGTGAATGGCAATCTAAAAGTTTTATTTAAAATCTTGGCCAGAACTTCATATTGTGATTTAAAGATGTGCCTTGCAAACTGATGAGTGCACACTTAAGGAATTGCCTCTTCCAATATGTTGAGTAGGGCCTCACTGAATCAACCTCATGGCTTTGGTGCTGTGGGTTTGGGTGACAGATCTTTCCAGAAGGTTCAGATTTCATCAAATGAGGTCTATTGAAAACTAAGCTCCACTTCTTATCCATGACAATAGATTGTGTTCTGTGGCTAAATTGTTATGTTTTGTTTCTTAATTAATTTTAATTACATTGAGAGGCAGGAGCATCTTAAATATAATAGTCTTAAGAAAATTCCAAAGAAATTGGAATATTTTAATCAGTTTTATCTAGCAAAATAAGTTAATTCAAAAATGAAAGAGATTGACAGTGACTTGTCTAATATCATATTTGTAAACTTTCCTCTGACCTGTACTAAAGAGATGTGGTGTAGTGTTAGTAGGGCATCACACCCTGAGAATGCTGGTCCTCAAACGGCTGGAACAACTATGCCTTCTAGCATAGCTGGGCCATAACAGCTTACAAAAGAACCTTTAGCTACACTCTTTGTTCACCATTCTACTGCTGTCCTGGTGGCCAGAGGTCAGGAAGGAAGGCTCTGAAGTCATGTTGTTCATCATTGTGATTCAAAGATGATATTTAACCCATCCTGCTCACAATGTGGAAGTAATATCTTCTCCGTTGGAGTAGTAAATAAGTTAAAATATTACATATAAAAATACACAATAGATAGGTAAATAGATTGCTATAATTATCTGATTAACACATTAGCTCATTTAAGCCTAACAACAAATTTAAAAAATGGTATTGTGCCTCTTTTATAGACATGGAACCTAAGGCTCAGATTGATGAAACATAGGTCTCAGTAGTCAAGACTTAAGGAGAATGAAATTTAAATTCATCAGTGTAAGATTATGTTTTAGGCATCGTTTCTATAGTTCATTAAATTCAATAGTGTGACCTAAAAGACTATATTTTATCATATCTTTTATCACACAATAGTGTGACCTAAAAGACTATATTTTGTCATAGTTTGTACCCTTGATGTGTGGTGCTATAATTTAAATGTCTGTCATGATAGAAAACTTAGTGAATGATTTTATAACCTTATTTATATAATCTAAAATATCATCTGTGTAAGGCACACCCTTATTTTATAAACCACTAAAAAATTATAAAAGTCCCAGCTAAGCTTTGATTTATTTTATATTTATTGAAATTTTAGACTTGGAATAAACAGATTTTAGGTATCATTCACATACATACATACATAAATGCATAAATTGATTAAGGCAGTGACAACTGAAAATTGTTCAGAAGCATGCTTATAGTGTTATCAGTTATAAACTTCACTCTATTTTTAAAAATATTAGAAAAGCCAGGCAGTGGTGGTGCACACCTTTAATCCCAGCACTCAGGAGGCAGAGGCAGGAGGATCTCTGTGAGTTCATGATCTACAAGAGCCAGTTCCAGGGCAGACAACAAAATGACACAGAGAAACCCTGTCTCAAAAAAACCAAAAAAAAAAAAAAAGAAAGAAAGAAAGAAGATACCTTAAAATTACAGATGCATTAAATCCTTAAAACTCAATGGCCTTATTTTCATAGATACACACTTAATATTAGTCAGAAATAAACTCAGCTCCTATATGAAAGCCTCAAAGTAGATGTGGCTTAAATCAGTGTGATTTCATGCCCTACAACTAGCACAAACCTCATAGATAATGGGCAAGACATGCATTCCTTGAACATCAGTGTCTTAGCTAGACAGAAGGGAGAGGTGGAGGTGACATCCTATTCCCAGAGGATTTATGCTCAGCTCAGATTTTGGAATCCCAATATCTAAGAAGGAAAATGAGTTTAGGAAAAAATCTTTTGGCTTTGATATTTTTAACGGTATTTATTTCATTTTGCAGAATTCATTTACCTCAAAATGATGAACCAGAAAATAGATTATCACAGTAGGTTTGGGTTAGTCATGTTTTTTGAAAAATCAAATAATTTGACACCTATTTCTGTCATTGCTGTAGTGTTGAGGATTGACTCTAAAATTATTTACTAAAATACTTTTTGTGACCCTCTAATTAATTTACATTAACACATTTAATGCATCTGTTTGTGGGGCTAAGTTATAAATAAACCTCATGTCACAGATCTGTTGTGTTTCTGTGTTTTTATCTATCAGCTGTCTGCTAAAGTTTGCTTCTTGTCATTTTTTCTTACTTATGAATCATTTAAATCATATTTATATTTGCTTAATTCCATGCAATTCTAAACTGACATTTATTCTTCTGGTGATAACTATTTAACAGCCGGTAAGCAATGTCCAATATCTGATAACTGTGTTTACTTGAACAGAGGATGGTGGTAGGTTCTAGGTGTGCAGCTATGCATCTGAAGCCAATGCTTTATACTATAGCTGAAGAAGTGTTCTGAGTGAACATTCCTTTACATTTGTTTTCTTTTTTGTTTACTTATATTCGTTGCACTTAGATTTTATTATCCTAATAAGTCAATTTTGAGAACTGTAGTTAATAATAATAAAATTTTATATTTTAAAAGATTGCATTTCCCAATGTAACTTACTTTTAAAGTAAAAAGTTAGACATTTCAAACTTGTGTGCAACCCAAAACAGGGACTTGTACTATAGTCACAGCTACTTTGGAGATTCCGGTGGGAAAATCACGCATGCCACAGAGTTACATATTAGCCAAGCAGTATTGCCAGACCCTCTCTCTCAAGAAAAAGTATATGAATGGAAGTTTTTTCAATTTGTTTCATGGTGGACACAATAAATAATGATGGCTCAAAGTTTGCTTAGCAGTTGTTTTCTACTTTAATTTAATTTCTACTTGGATGTTCCTGTGTCTAAAGTATCAGTGGTAAAATAGAAATGATTCCTGATATCAAGCGTAAATTCATTCTTAAAGGGACCCATATTTTACTTAATTTATCTGTTTTTTTGTTTTTTTTTTTTTTTTGGTAGTCAGGGAAGAAAATAAACAGCAACCCAAATCCTCTTGTCCAGATGTCAGTCGGTCACAAGGCTCAAGAGAGTAAGGTAAGAAGAGTCTGACGGCTTCTGAGAGTCTCTCCATAGCCATGCTACACTGGTCACTCTCCCGGGAGGCGGTACCCAGGTGTGTGATGTGTACGAGACGAGGCCATTGTTTCATATGAAACAGCCATTTCATAAATACAAGCTGCTTAAGTTATTGGCAGACATATTGTTTATTTTTAAATAACATTAAAAAATACCCTACAGATGTTTTTGTTTGATTTTATGGGGAGAAATAAGGAATTACTTCCCAAGCTTCTTTTAAGTACTTAGTAATTATTTAGTTAGTACGTTGTACTTCAAATTCAGCAAACAAATGCTCAGGAGTTCATAGAAGGTATTGTTGTATGTTCTTCTTTTCTGATCAGGAAATAAAAATTCAGAAGTTACAGTTTTAGGCCATTGTTAAATTTTAATTGTTAACCCTTTAAGAAACAGGGCTCTGTGCCAGGCACCAAGAATGCAAAAGTTGGGGACAGTAGAGCAAAAGAGGCTTTGGTCTCTGGACAGCAGACATGGATTCTGTGTCAACTCCTGTTCCCGGTGCACCGCAAACAGCTTATGTTTTACTTTCTGAACATTTCCACGCTTCCTGAGTCCATTACTCATAATGATGTAATCACCCTGTGCTTGTATATGCGCTAAATAAGTAAGCAGTGAGTCAGTAGTCCTCCATAGCAAACACTGAAGAGTTGATGTGAGACCATTTCTTACAGATTCGATACAAAACTAGTGAGCCAGTGTGGGAGGAAAACTTCACTTTCTTCATTCACAACCCCAAGCGCCAGGACCTTGAAGTTGAGGTATGTTATTGCATTCTCTGCCTATAGTTTGAAATACGATTGATACAAATTATGCTTATTTACAGTTTTCAATTGAGTATATAGTGTTCTGGGACCCACCACTACAGTCAAGATAAAGAAATTCTTTGGTTCTCTCTGACTCACAGCTCTCCCAAACCCGTCTTTATGTTTCCATCTATGTCACATTAATCTTCATCGGTACTATCAGGAAAAGGTCATGAATCTTTTCTTAATATTTAGCTATATAACTGTTCAGCACATTGTTGAAAAAATCACTCTTTCCTATGTATTGAGGTTAGTGACTATCGAAATTCAGGGCCAGTATGCAGTCTGCTTATGGAATGCTTTTGACCCTAGGTTCTGTTCTAACAATATGCTAGCCTCGCTGTCTCTGTTACTGCTATTAAATGACTACATTTTAAAACCAACTTCTGTAAGCCCTTAAATTTATTTTTCACAATTGTTTTGACTAATTCTGAATTACATTTCACATGAATTTTAGTACCAACTATAGCTGTACACAGAGAACCTTTAATTTTGATAAGAGCTTCACTGACATCTTCCTAACAGGAAACGTTCCAATCCATAGAAACATTGCATTGCTTTTTTTCTTTCCCCTTGGGTAGTCTTTAACTTCTCTCAGCAGTGCTGTATAGTTTTCTGTGTTTGGTGTAGTTCTTTTATGTATGTCAGACTTTTCCCTAAACATTTAGTAATTCTTTATGGTGTTGTGAGTGATCTTATTTTATTTCCTTACTTGTAATTAAAAACAGAGCCTTGCTCATTCTAGAAAAGAACTCTACCAATTTTTCCCAGCTATTAAATGGTTCCTAATCTTGTATTTTTTTACTTTTTTACTAATGTATATAAAGGTGTCTAGACATTGTAGTGTATTCCTGTAATCCCAGCATTTAGGAAGCCAAGGCAGGAGATTCATGAATTCAAGACTAGCCTGGCTTACCTAGTAGCAAGATCCTGCCTCAAAACAAAACAAACAAGACAACCGGTAGGAGACAAATGAAATAAAACAATCATTAAAGTGCTTTGTTGGGCAAGCATGGGATATGAATTTGATCCTCAGAAGCTATGAGTAAAAGCCAGGCATGGTAACACTAGTTTATAATCTGGGGTATAGGTGGATGGGGACTCGCGAGCCAGCTAGCCTGGTCTCCTCAGCAGGTTCAGCTGAGAGACACATTCCAGAGAAAGACAGAATGAGAATGTGTAGTTGATTGTTATATATTGATATGATCTCATACAACTCCACTAAAAATGGCTTGCTCTTTTTTGTTGTATTTGCTTGTGGGAGGGGGTAGTGAATTTTATTGCAAGGCCTTGGATTTATGATTCTACTGCTTGGCCAGTTTATTGCTAATATTATAGGTTTATGTTACCATGTCAGACCTGCTTACTTGTTCCACTAGATATCTTAGGATTTTATGTGTGGGATAGAAGTCATGTTATCGTCTAGTAATGATACTTTTCACAACAGTCCTGATGTTTTTGTTTTTGTTTTTTTCTTGGCTGGCCTCCCTGTTCAGCCATCTTTTCTCTGCCGAAGTATCTTCTGAGTCTGGTCTCCCATACAGAGATTTTTCTCCTCCTAGTTTGCTTCATCATCATGAGTAGGTGCTGGCTTTCACTGAAGGGTTTTCTACATATGTTGAGATAACATATGGTTTTTCAACTGTAAATACAGTGAGATACATTGTTGATTTTCAGATGTTAAATATTGCAAACTTTTATTTGTTTTTCCACACGTAATACTTGGATACCTTGAACACAATATTTTATCTGGGGATAAGTCCCTCTTAGTCATGATCATTTTTACATATGTTAATTCTTGCTTCTTGGGCCTGGAGATTTGGCTGGAATCTCTCATAGCAGACCTGAATTCTGTTCCTAGCACTCTCATGGCAGCTCACAACTGCCTGTAATATGAGTTCCATGGGATCTGATGCCCTCATTTGGACTCTGAGTGCTCTTGCACACACATAATACACACAAACTCACTCAAGTACACACACATAAAAATTAAGTAAATAAGTAAGAAAAAAAGAAAAGCATTTTTACTTCTTACTCATGACAGTTTCTGATCTGTAATTTTGCTTCCTTTTAATATTTTTTCCCTATTTTGATGTCAAGATAATGATAGCCTCCTAAGTGAGTTAGGGAGCTTGTGTTCCTCTTGAATATTCTGGAAGAGTCTGTACAGAATTGTTTTGGGTTTTCCCATATATAGCTTGCATTTTTCATTTCGAGAAGGTATTTACACACAAACTTAATTCTATCAATAGCTATTGATCTATCTAGGTCAGCTATTTCTTCTTTATAAACTGTGATATTTATGTCTTTCAAGGAGTTTGTTCATTTTGTCCAGAGTTTGTTCTTTCTTTGATCAAACTATTTTGAACAATCACATGATGGGAATAGTTCTTATAACAGAGGCAATGCTGAAGATTAATTACTCATGAGGAAGAAGTGCCATGTATTTAAAGGAGATGCTGTAAGTTTTCAAAGCAGCCGTGTAGACTTTGAACAGAGAAGGTGTTAAAGACACTTAAAATGCATTTTCCCCATGAAGAAGTGTCTCCTGTAGAAACTGCACCTTTCTGTCAGTGTATACTGTATGATTTCGGTATTTAAAAGGTATTTCCTTCTGACCTTTAGATTTGTATAGAGTATTACTTTTCTTCATTCTTGTTTTGTTTTGGTTTGGTTTTGGTTTTGGTTTTTTGAGACTGGGTTTCTCTGTAGCTTTGGAACTTGACCTGGAACTAGCTCTTTTAGATCAGGCTAGCCTCGAACTCACAGAAGTCCAAGTGCTGGGATTAAAGTCATGTGCCCCCACTGCCTGGCTTGTATAGAGTATTGCCTTTTGTATTTTTTAAGAGACTTCTTATGTATATGAGTGTTTTGCTTGCATGAATGTCTGTGTACTTTGTGTTTGGTTCCTGTGGAGGTCAGAACTGGTCATTGAGTTCCCAGGAACTGAATTATAGATGGTTATGTGCTGGGAATCAAATGTGAGCCCTTTGCAGAAACAAGTGCTCAACTGCTGGACTATCTCTCCAGCTCTCCAGCCCCTAGACTGCTAATTCTTATCTGAAGTTTCTCACAGTAGATTTGTTTTTTGTTTTTGTTTTTGAGATAGAGTTTCTCTGTTTTGCACTGGCTGTTCTAGAACTCTCTCTCTGTAGATCAGGGTGGCCTAGAACTCAGCAGAGATACTGAGTGCTGGAATTAAAGGTATGGGCCACTACCATCCAGATCTCACAGTAGATTTATAAAATAAGATGTCCTTTGTTGTGCTTATGGTTTTGTAATGAAAAAAGGGCAAGTACATCTGACAGAAGTACCTGCATTTTCCTGAGACACACTGCTTTAAAAATATAGATGAAATGCGTTATGTTTTGTTTTGTGCTGGTATGTTTTTAAAGTCGATCTGTGGACATTGCTATATCTCCTGTGGTTCCTGTCGTTTTCCTTGGAGCTCTGTGTTTTCTGCTCTGCATCTTTCAGGTCAAAGATGAGCAGCATCAGTGTTCTCTGGGGAGCCTGAGGATCCCTCTCAGTCAGCTGCTTATGAGTGACAACATGACCATAAACCAGCGGTTCCAGCTCAGCAACTCGGGTCCAAACAGCACCTTAAAAATGAAGATTGCCCTCCGGGTACGGCATACTTTTTAGTAGGACTCCATAGTGGGAGGGAAGAAAGCAGCTTCAGCTCAGTCCCAGTGTGGCAGTGGTACCATGGACACAGGTCAGGTGACATTATAGAGTATGCTGACAGTTTGAGGGGGACAGAAACTGTCATAGAGTTATGGGAGTCCAATCTAGATCCATTCTGAACAAACCCTTTATTTCCAGATTCATTGACAGGCCACGGTAGTTCAGAAAGTATGTTTATGCCAATGGAGTTTGCTCCTTCACCTTGAATATTCAAAGGTTGTTCAGAAGGCAGCTTGAGAAACTCTTACAAAAGGTAGAATTTACAGGAATAAAAGCCTGGTTTGTCCAAAATAAAAATACCTGAGCAAATATTGATAATAAATGCTTAAACATACAGGAAATGTCATTAAAGTATTCAAGCTGAGCCAAGGAGATATCTCAACAGGTAAAGCTGAGCTGCTCAAGCCTGAGAGTCTGAATGCAGTCACTGAATCCACAGGATTGTCCTCTGACCTTGGCGCACGTGCCAGGGCACACATACCCATCTAAAAACAAAATTATATATACATTACAATAAAGAGCCAACTTTCTGTTTCAGTGCTGGGGTTTGAACCCATAGTTTTATGTATGCTAGACTAACGTTTACCACTCAACTATACTCCAGCCCTAAGAATGAGTTTTTGCTTTTTGTTTTTTTTAATTAAAATAGTCTGCTCAGGGCACAGTGTTGCACATATCAAGATGCAGCACAACCATATAGTGGCAGAGTAGTTGTAGCATCACCTGTCTGCCACTTCGAGCTCTCGGTTGCTGTGTAAAACTGTGGGGAGTCTGTGAAATGAAAGTGTTTGCGATAGCTTTGGTTAATAAAACCAGAGAAAGTCAGTAACTCCAGAGTGTCCTGTAGAGTATAGCCCTGGCTTACACATTTTACGTGATGTAGCTGTTCTTTTACTACGGTATCACGCTTGGTTGCTTGAGAGATCTTTCTGGATAGCACAGTTTCTTGGCATTTTTTCTTTGTCTGGGAGTTTCTGGTGTAAACCACCTGAAAGAATGGGATAGTTCATCTTTTGCCAAGGATACATGGCTCGCTGGGTGATCTAGCGGAAGCCTTGTGCTATAATTAGAATATGTTCAAATGGAAGAGATTAGAAGACACGGAAAAGTTGTTTTTATTGCAAAAGTAGAGTAGTTTTAATTGCTTAAAATTTATCTTTTTAAAAATTGTTTTGTATTTTGGAGACAGGTTGGCACTGGTTGTCTTTGAATTCTCTATGTAGACCAGGATAGCTTCAAATTGTCAGAGCTCTGCCTGCCTCTGCCTTGCAAGTGCTGGGATTAAAGGCGTGCGCCACCATGCCTCATAAAATTTGCTTTTGTAATTCTCTGTAATACACTATTTTAATAACTGCATAGCTGAATAGATTAGCTGAATCTGAAACATTTGCAAATGAGTACATCTAAAGCCACTCATGTATCCAGATGTCACCGCTGTCACTGGTTTCCCCCTAGGTCCTCCATCTTGAGAAGCAAGAAAGGCCTCCAGACTACCAGCATTCAGCTCAAGTGAAACGGCCCTCTGTCTCCAAAGAAGGGAGAAAAATACCTGTGAAATCTCAGAAGTCTGTGTCTCCAAGCACTGGTGGTAGCAACACTGCTCCATCAACACCAGTCATGGGAGTCGATGATAAGCCTGTCAGGGAGGAGAAGCCCCACCCCCCTGAGGCCAGCCCTCTAGGGCAGCGTGACCTAGGCAGGAGCTCCTCCAGCCTCTTGGCCTCTCCAAGCCACATCTCAGCCAAGGAACCCACCCCAAGCATTGCCTCAGACATATCATTGCCCATTGCCACCCAGGAACTGAGGCAAAGGCTACGTCAACTTGAAAAGTAACTAATGCTCATATTATTGTTTATCATAGAGTTTTCATCCCACACACTAGGGTCTTAAGTTATCTGGGAGAAATTTGATTGTGCTATTTTGCTCATTAGTCTTTGAGTTTCAAAATAAAACTTGCTGCTTAGGACGTTGGATATGTTAGGAGAATAGAAGTGGTTTTGCAGGTAGGAGAAGCAAGAGACTTAAGCTGTGTGGCCACCATATACTCAGTTCTCTCCAGGGACAGACTCCTGCATGGATAGTCACTAATGTGCAAAGGTTTGGCATAGGCTTGTCTTCTCTTCATGTGGTGAGAAAAGTACTAAAGGACGCGCAGCATCTGCTGTTTTTCTGAGGCTCCTCTGACCTGTGCTCTTTTGTTTTCATGCTTTCTCACATGACTCATTTTGGAAAATAGGGAGTCAGCTTCAGGGTGGGGGTGTAGTGCGGTAATAGGACACTTGCCTAGCAGCAGGCTGAGTTTTAGCCATGGGACTGAAGTTTGTCCTGGGGAGAACTCTGTGTCTCCATTGTTCCTTGAGTGCTCACTGGAAAACTCTCAGTTTTGAATAATTAAGGAATCCCAAACCGTCAAGTGAAATAATTTAAATTTGATATGTATTCAGAAGTTTCAAATCATGTTTAAATTCCTGGCTAATTAATTCCCATTTTGTCTAGATGAATGGACATTACATTCCTGTATAGATGGTATCAATGCACCAAACCTCTTTTGTGTTGGGGCAGAGCTGGTGACATTCTGTTGTTTCCACAGTGGGACAACACTGGGACAGTCTCCCCTGGGGCAGATCCAGCTGACCATCCGGCACAGCTCCCAGAGGAATAAGCTCATTGTGGTTGTGCACTCCTGCAGGTGAGGCTGACCATTACTGCCACTGGCTGGTTATGCTCTGTCTTATGTGATTTCCCCCTCCCCATATCAGTAGGAGTTTAAAATATAAATATCTTTAGCTTATAAAAAGTCTTTTTAAAACATAGGTGAATAGAATTGGTGACATTGACAAACAAGAGTCTGAAAATGTAGAGTGTAGTTCAGAGAGGATAATTAGGAACCTATGTGTCTGGCTCCCGAGATAATGACTGAAGAGGGCCTGCTGCTGTGAGTAAATGAGTATGTTTGGCTCAGGCTAGTCATCCCATAGAAAGAATAGGGGACAGTATCGTGGAGAAGGCTGACCTTGGGCAGAAGCTATTGGCTGGAGGTACTAAAGAAGTAACCCGTGTGGCCACTGAAGGTCATATTGACAGAGGCCAGGTTTACCCCACAGGGTCTTTGTTCATGTTTCCTGTGGGTAACACCGGAGAAGTCTGGGAGAATGTGAGACTGAAGGTATGTGAGAAGCGTAGAGCAAGGGCAGTGAATGCCCACCCACACTCTGGGCTTAGGTAGTCGAGCCAAAAGTCACTCTGGCAAAACTGCTAAAAGGGACATTTAAAAGTGATGGTATAGAACCACACATAGGGGAAGTCTGATGTGTGTTGCTCCTTGGAGTTGAGATCATATGAAATAAAAGCTTGATAAAGTAATTCAGGTATTATGGAATTCGTTTTTAAAAATTCTAATATTTAGTCTTCTCTGATTTGTATTCTAAGAAACCTCATTGCCTTCTCAGAAGATGGCTCTGATCCATATGTCCGTATGTATTTATTGCCAGACAAGAGGAGATCAGGAAGAAGAAAAACACATGTGTCAAAGAAGACACTAAACCCTGTGTTCGACCAGAGGTACAGTAGATACTTCTTTTAGCTAAGAGGCTACCTGGATGAAATGACAGGCGGTTAGGGCAGTCCTGAGTGACAAGGCCTGTGAACCTAGTGCACTGTTGAGAAACGGTACTCTAGCACAGTCCAGCACATGGTGCTTGTTTTAAATAAGCCTTTGACCTTCAAGCAGAGGTGTTAAACATAATATATCCGAGTTATAAAGGTGCACAGGGAGATGGATGGTTAAACGTCAAATTTTTGTTTTATTTTGTTTTTTTGCTTTTTGAGACAGGGTTTCTCTGTGTGGCCCTGACTGTCCTGGAACTCACTCTGTAGACCAAGCAGGCCTAGAACTCACAGAGATCCTCCTGCCTCTGCCTCTGTCTCCTGAGTGTTGGGGTTAAAGGCGTACACCACCACCGCCCAGTTAAAGGTCAAATTATTGACGATTCTGAAGCACTTTGATTTGGTGGGTAACATATATTGATACTAAATTTCAAATCAAACAATTTAAATTTACATTTAAAATTTTTATTTTATAGTATAATCACATAAAATACACATTTTTGAGAAAAGCTCTATTTTTCTAAAACAATATAATTTTGCAAATCATAAGTGGTCACCTTAATAGAAGCTGCCTTTGTGTGGTTAGTAGCCAGTCTAATGGACCAAGTTGCTTGTGGGTACTGTAGAGATCCTTGGATTACCGGTCTGTAAAATCTGCCCCACCTCATAGTTCTCTGACAATTTAGCATCTGCTAGTTTTGAGAAAATAAAACAGCTGAATGGCACCAGTATTTGTTGGCTTGGTTCTGTTTCTTCTTTAAACGTACCTCGCCTTCAGTTTTCATGCTGTAACTTCATTTTGAACTAAGGTCATCAGCTAGGTGAGCACCAAAAAGGAAACTCAATTTTACAAGAAAAAGCAGACAGTGGTTGGAATGAACTCAAAAAAAAAAGTCTTTTTAGTTAAAATACAACAAGATCATGGAGAATTGTCATAATATATCTGTTTCTGTTGCAGCTTTGATTTCAGTGTTTCACTGCCTGAGGTGCAAAGGAGAACACTGGACGTAGCAGTGAAGAACAGTGGTGGCTTCCTGTCCAAAGATAAAGGGCTTCTTGGCAAAGTAATTTATTAGAAGTTCTTGTATCCTACACATTATAAAACGAAACATTTCCCTATAGTGCAGTTTAGATTATAGCTTGCATAAGTGGGAAAGAGGGAAGCTCATCCTATGATGAGTGCTTGTTTCTCAAATTATGCTAAGACATTACTACATAGCTGTTTTCATGCATTCATACTTTTGGCTTATTCCTGTTACTGATATTAGGAACTTAGAGTTGAAAAAAGTTGATTTTTTTTGAAACTTTAAAAACTACTCAATACTACATTGTTGTCAGGGTTTCTGTCCTGCCCAGTTCCCGTAGTCGTTAAGTCCCAAAGAAATCACACCAGCTCTACATTAGTTATAAACTGATTGGTCCATTAGCTCAGGCTTCTTATTAACTCTTATAACTTACATTAACCCATTATTCTTATCTGTGTTAGCCACATGGCTCAGTACCTTTTTCAGTGGCGTAGTCACATCTTGCTTCTGTGTCTGGACAGGACTGCAGAGGGAGCTTCCCTCTTCCCAGAATTCTCCTGTTTTCATTGACCCACCTCTACTTCCTGTCTGGTTATCCTGCCTATACTTTCTGCCTGGCTACTGGCCAATCAGCATTTATTTAAAACATAATTGACAGAATATAGACAATTGTCCCACACCACTACATTGGAAGAAAACATGAAGGAACATATTCTCAAAGGGCCTACCAGTCCACCTCCTTAACTAATCACTGTTCTTCCTCTAACATGTCATTGACTTTCTCCCTCCAAATCTTCTTTTGTCTTTTCCGTCTCATATTAACTTTGGTATAGGAGTGTGTGTGTGTGTGTGTGTGTGTGTGTGTGTGTGTGTGTGTGTGTGTTTTACAGTATTCAGAGGTTTAGATAGGGAAAGGGGCTTTGAGTTGTAGAGGTGCCACTTGGTCAGCAGCAGAAGTGACCAGTCTATATCAGCTAGGCTATGATAGATGCCTAAGAGAGACAGTGTAAAAGAGGGAAGCTTGCATGGGTACTTGGCTCTGTTATTTCTGGGCCAGTTGTAAGGCAGAAAACATGATGAGAAGCACAAGGCAGAACCAAACTGCCCACCTCACAGTGGCCAGAAAGCAGAGAGAGATGTGAGGAGATCAAAGAGAAGGTATCGATTTCCAAAACACATCCCTGGTGACCTATTTCCTTCGATTGGACCCCCCACACCTACCCACCATTTCCAATTGCCATCATAGTATGAATCCACCAGGGATTAACCCATTGATTAGGTCAGAGACTTCAGGTTCCAGTCACTTCCACAAGCCAATCAGTTTCTTGGTAACCAAGCTTTTAAAGCAGTGAACCTTTAGAGTCACTTCATATCCAAACTACACACTTCTGTTAACGACATGCTTGACAATATCTCCATAAATTGCCTCTGCCTGTGTTTCCTCATAATTTTAATACTATTAGATACAAGAAGAATCATTGGACATACTCAGCCATGGAAAGGTTGAAAAGATTTTTGAAAATCAGAACCTGAGTTTTGAGGAATGGGAGAGTTCCATGTTGTTAAATTCAGTAGCTAGAGAGGTCGGAAGGAGTGGTAGCTAGTCTCAACAATTTTCACAGTACCTTCTTTTAACCCACAGGTGCTGGTTGCTATGGCATCAGAAGAACTCGCCAAGGGCTGGACCCAGTGGTGAGTGTGCCCCTATCCTAGGTAGCAGGTAGTTCTCAAAGAAACTTAGCCGTGTGTCCTTCCAGCAGCACCCTGAAGCCTGACCCAAACAAACCTATTGTACATTTCTGTGCTTTCTCAGGTATGACCTCACAGAAGATGGAACAAGGCCTCAGGTGATAACGTAGCCATGCTGGACGTAAGGCCTATTTTTCAACGTGTCGCACCACCTCAACATGGAACTCAACTTCTTGCAGATGTACCAATGCTATTTTTATAAGTATTGAGTTATACATACCTTAATAATTTTATAAAACTCTTGGCGTTGTAAGAAAAATTTGGCCAATATTATTGATAAATTTCCCATTGAGTTCCCTCCAGTATTTCACCGGGTACTGCAGAGTGCAGTGTATACAGCAATGTGTTCCTGTGCTGTGTGGGACTCTGTCGGCCACATCTGCTGGAAAGCAGGCACCTGTATTCCTGATTTCTGCCTTGTCTTGCATCCCAGAGGTGCACTACACCATGTAAATAGACTCTTTTTTTTTTTTTTATACTATCTACTTGCTGGTTTGGAAGAAGAAGAAAGTGTATCAAGGAAATACATATTTTCTTCTAAAACTTATTAGATTCTGCGACAAATAATCATTTTCATCTTTTCAGCAAAAAGTTCTCAGCTCTGTTGTATATGACTTTTTTAAGGGAAAAGTGGAAAGATTATTAAATATTGGATATTTATGTCTAGTATTAATGATAAAAGAAAGTGTTCAAATTATTAACATTATTGTAAATAGGAAGGGAGATATAGTGAGAAGTCAATAAATGACTTATTTAAAAAGTTTTATAACTGAGTAATAGACAATACCAAGACTATTGTCAAAGCTCAGGAATCACAGTATATTCATCTGAAATTTATTACATAAGAAAGAAATGTGTGCTGTTTATTTATAATTCTTTGTTATAACTGATTCATGAAATAGTACAGAGATACACACATGCCAGGTGTAGTACCTCATACCTGTAATACCAGGATATGGGAGGCCAAGGCAGGAAGACCAAGAGTTAAAGCACCAGTCTGGTCTACACAGCATGACCCTATCTTGAAAAAAAGAAATTCATACTTTATATTTTGCCCAAAGCATAGGAACTAATCGCCAATATTAGGAGATAAGATGTTGTCCAGATTGGATGCAAGCCTGGTTTGTTTTCCACGTCTCTAACCCTATAAAAACAGGCCCATTGTTAGTGTAAAACGGTGAAACAGATTGGGTGAGTCCAAGGGGTGTTGTGCTACAGACTGGCACTGCACCTGCTCTTGGTGGGAGAACCTGCTCTATATCCATCATACAGGATGCACACCTCTGAATGGAGCTTTCTGCACTTCCCTCGGTACATTACATGACAGAGGGAGAGATCCTGCCCAGTGCCAGCAACAGAAGCTGTCAGTCTTGCCATTTTCTGGATGTCCTCAGTTTGTGCCATGTCAGATCATAATATAGAGATAGTATTATACAGTTTTTAACTTAGTATCCTTTTTAGATTATGAAAAGCATGTTTTACATATGTAAGAGTCCTCTAGCACCCCTTGTAAGGTGAGGCTATATCACAGTATTATAAGCTATGCATGTCTGTAAACAAAGTACACACAAATGTAGGAAGACTTTCAGTATGCATTTTAAGCTGCGTGATGAAAAGGGCTTCTCAGCTATGAGATCCTTTGAAACTATGTACACTTATAGCAGGAAAATACAGCTTTGTAATCAAAATTCGAATAATTCCTTTCACATTCTTCCTGGAACTAAACAACTTTTGGGAAGCTTATGTGACCAAACATACCAAAGTGCCTATGATGAATGCCGAGTGTTCCTTTTACACTCTCCTCCTGTCTAGCAGATGAAAGTGTGCCTCAGTTTGTAATGTACCATGGGTGCATTTGTAACAGAGTCTGTGACTTTTCACAGCACATCCCAGGTAGTCATAGGGCCAGAGTAACCTCGCTCTCTTGTCTGTTGACACCTTCCTTTGAATCTTGTTAATAAATCTTTTTCTATTAGTGTGCAGGATTGGTTTTTGTGGGAGAAAGTTGATGTATATGTCACACACATGAACATATATGCACATAAAACATTAAGATTGGCATTTAGTCACAGAGAAAGACAGGTGATAACTTACTAAACTTGTTGCTTGACCATGCTATTAGATTTTTTAAAGTATCTTTTTAATTAAGTTCACTGAAGGGCTACTGTCATAATCTATAAAGGAGATTTTCTCGATGAAATTTTATCATGTCAATGGTTTTTCACCAACAACCTAAACATCGTGGTTTTGTGCCCATATGCTTAATCTGTTCAGTGTGGTTTTATTTAATATAATACTTTTTTTAACAACTAGGCAAATTGAGTATTATTAGGGATACAATATTCTAATAATAAATATAACACCTCAATATGATGCCCTCTGCTGCAGTCACAAAAGCTGGCACCAAAGAGTTCAGGTACAGCATCATCTGAATCCTCTAGTAGCTGTCTCCACACTCTTTGGAAAGGAGAGAGAGATTCTGGTAATACCAGCCCACTTCCTGACTGCCGTCCTGTGTCCTGCCTATGGGGAACTGCGTTCCCCTCAAGGCATGTTCCAGTGTCCTGAAGATGGAAGACACTTTGGGTTCTCAGAATATTAACTTTTAGATTTTAATGACTTATCTAGGAAAAAAGAACTTTAAGTTTTCTACTCTGAGCCAAACCAACGAGAGGAAATTAGTGATTTGAAGTTCATCTCCACTAACTTATTCAGCGTGATGGCTTATCCTGTGCCTTAAGTACCAAGGGATTGTCAAGTTTAGATGAAAACAGAAGCAGCCCTGAAACTCCATTTGCCACCATTTGTATCCTGCGCTCTAGATTTTCTTCACAGAGACAGTCCCTATACACAGGTCAGGTCTTAGGAGATTTTTAGAATTATTTCAAAATCCTCAGGCAAATGCAGAGAGCATGGGTGCTGGCTATGTATTCTCTGGTAGTTGCAATGACTGGTCCCGCCTGGATTACCTACTGTAGAGAAGAAACATAGAGGGTTGGTTTTTGGTTTTGGTTTTTTAATCGCAGAATGTGCTTTTGCTTAATTTTACATAACAGCACACATATTTATTCAATAAAACTTTTGTTAGCTCACTTGTAATATGTTTTTTTGTTTGCCTCTTGAAATGAAATTTTTAGTTTAGAAACAGATAATTTGGAAAGTCCACATGCTATATATATGCTACATGTATATCTGTAACATGAAGGGCTGGCTTATTTGAGTTTTCTGTCCTGCCCAGTTCCCCCAGCTGTTTAGTCCCAGAGAAAAATCAACAATACAGAGGACTCTATAAGTTATAATGCGTATTGACCCATTAGGTCAGGCTTCTTACTGGCTAACTCTCACATCTAGATTAACCTATTTTTCTGATCTATGTCAGCCATGTGGCTCAGTACCTTTTTCAGTGGGGCAGTTCACATCCTGCTGCTTCGGTGGCCTGGGCAGGGGTGCGAGGAATCTACTTCCTCCTCCCCAGAATTTGCCTGCTCTCCTTACATCATTTCCATTTCCTGTCTGGTTTCCCCGCCTACACCTCCTGCCTGGCCAATCAGCGTTTATTTAAAACATGATTGACAGAATACAGACAATTCTCCCGCACCATATATGTGCTGTTTGTGCATTCTCTCATTGTTCAAGAGGTTTGATATTACTCATTCCCGTCTCAGTTTGACTCTTCTCTGCGTACCTCCCAGACTCTGGGTTTTGCAAATAGCTCTTTGAGGGGCAGTGGTTGAATAGTAAAAGCAGACTGATAAGTCCTTAAACAACCTGCAGAGATAGGTGCTGTTTGAACAACAAGGAAATAGTTGTGTATCTAGTGTCTCAGTAGGCCTGAGGAAACATTTTATGGTCTTTCTTAGGCATCTTCCCATCTAACACTATTCATTTCTTTGCCCATATGCTGAAATACCAGCTTTGCTTGGCCTTGTTTGTTTGTTGACAGGGTAGCCAAAACTGGCTTTCAACCAACAGTCCTCTTGCTGTAGCTTCCTAAATGCTGAAATTATAACTATATGCTCCAAATCTAGTTTCTTTGTCCTTCATAATGCCTTGCTTTACATCTCTCCATTGTAAAAAAAAAATGAGAACACCATGCATGCTGGGCAAGCACTCTATCGCTGCGTCACACTTGACCCTTTGGGTGTCACTCATCACTGTTGGTATTCATAAAGACCTCTTTTTCCTGTTTCTCTTACCTAGGCTCTAAGTATTGAAGTACACGTTTCCTGTTCTTTTTCATTTTTATTTGTATTCTTAATACCACTGACCATCTGTGTCACAAACAGACTTTCCTTCAGCACTGAAGGCCAGTGTGTCATGTTCCCTCTAAAGCATCTATCTTCTAGGAGGTCTAGCAGGGTTCCCTCTTGTTTTTGTCTCTGTCTAGTTACCTGAGCTAGGGATTTGAACAGCATCATGCCCTGGCTGCCTCCCTTGCACACACATATATTGATCTTCATTCAGTCAGTCCTGACTTGAGGACATACTTACTTCTGTTACAGCCTTAAGCCCGTCTTGGTCAACTCCCAGGTTTCAGCTGCCCCCATCTTTGTTTTTTATTAACACCCAAGGGGAGCTTTTAAAAACTATAATGCTATTTCATTTGTATTTTAATAAATAAAGCTTGCCTAAAGACCAAAAAGTAAAATATCTACAGTGGTTAGCCATCCAGACCAGGCAGTGGTGGCACACACTTTAATTCCAGTAGCCACACTAGTTCGCCATAGAAACCAGGTAGTGGTGCACATTTTTAATCCCAGCACTAGAGAGGACTATAAACCTCGATGAGACAGGAACTTGTGCTCTTTCAGTCTGAGGGTTTCTTAGAACTAAGGGCTCTCTAGTGACTTGGCTGCTTTGCTTTTTTATTAATCATGCTACAAAAGACAAACTCTTAACTACTATTTCCTTTGCCCTTGCACTTAATACTAAGAGCCTGTAGCTCCCATGCCCGGAGACTTCGCCAGCCACAAATTTCCTCCAGGGTCTGCTTGTACTCATTTAATTACCATGGTTCTTTCCACCTCCACATACCATGACATTCTTCCCAGGACACTGACCTGAACAGTGTCCACTTCCCTTCACATCAGTTTAAGGTTGATTGCCTCAGTGTCTGTTACCAGCAGTCTAACCATAGCCTCCCCAGCATAGACCCTTGGCACTGTGTTGCTCTTTTTCATCTACTTATGAAGTTTTGCTTGAGTACTACTTACAGTTTTTCTGTCTGGACTATAAACCACGAAGAGCAGAGAGTGTTTCAATAGCTGTCATTAGCATGCAAATGATAATCCAAATCTGTTGAATAAATGATCTATAAAATTGACCATAGAAGACTCCTGTTTTGATGAGTTTCCACTCAAAGAATTTTAGTTACCTCCAGACGGTTTTATTAAAGGTTGAACATAAATTTATTTTCAGTTAAAAACAGATCACAAAAATGAGAAATTTAGGAAGTCTTAATTTATTTGCTATTATTCTGAAACTCCTGGACATCTCACTGTAAAAAGAAAAATTGTCTTTAGTGTTTATACTGAGAGGGAAAGGTATCTTCAGAAATGGTTGTCTACTTGGAAACTACAAGAGAATAGTCTTAATAAATAAATTAAAAACCTTGGATTTAACAGATGTTTAATGAGTTTAACCATGTCTCCATTTCTTACATTCTAATAGTAATAACAATTAGAAAATATGAACGTTTTTAAAAGTCATACAACAGACTTAGGACTATAATAGCAGTGAAAACCTACAACCTCCAAAGGGGAAAGAATGGATTTAGAAAATGTCTTATCCCAGAAAACTGCTACTGTGTGACTTGTCTGTATCCTAGGAAATCTGTGTCTGTTGTGTTTGTCAAACAGAATATTGTTGCTGCCTGAGCCTTTATTACCTCTGGAGACAGAAGTTGACAAAACACAAGGAGCCAGGAATAATAAAGGAGGTTGTAGAATGTTTGGGGGATGTAGAAAAGTGTGTGTGAGGAGGGCACATGTGTTTCTGGAAATAATCTACAAAAGTCCTAGTCTTGTTTCTGGGTGCCATAAAGAGTGGGGAATATTTGATCCAAGGTACTAAAAAAATCTTGATTCACTTACTAAGTAATCGCATAAGCTAGCCAGACAGAGACTTCAAAGAATATGCCTTTTACATATTATAGTTAATCCAGGAAAGCAGCAACAAAGCCTGAAAAGAGGAAGAAGGAGCTTGTTTACATAATTGTCATACTATATTAAGTTTTTAACCCCAAAATCATGAGGTACGCAAAGAAATGAAATGTAGGTCATACGCCAAAGGCAGGGACCAAACTAGTAGAAACTGTCTCTAAGGAAGTCCAGATGGCCTTAAGTTAGCTACTGTCATATGTTGAAACAAACAAGAGAGACTACATATCTAAAGACTAGGGAAACAGGAGAACAAGTAGAAATTCTTGAATTGAATATAAGGAACTCAGGGTTCACTAGAGTTCAGCAGATTTGAGCAGACGGAAGAAGAATCAGCATATGAAGATGGGTTAATAAGGACTATCCAAACCAAGGAACAAAGGTAATACAGAATAAAGAGAAATGAATGGATACATAAAGACCCGTAAGGATGGAGAGGAGCACCTAAAAAAAGTTTTAAGAACCACTGTAAGCTAATGAGATGACTCAGCAGATAAAGGCCCCTCCCACTAAGCCAAATAACCTATGTTCCATACCCAGAATCCATATTGTAGGAGAGAACTGACTCTTCCAAATTGTCCTCTGAACTCCACATGTATGTTGGCAAGTACATGAACACACAAGTAAATTTTATTTTTAAATGTTTTTAAAAGAGCAATATGAGGTTGGTGTGATAGCATGCACCTCTAATTCTAGCACTTGGGGAATAGAGGCAGAAAGATAAGGAGTACAATGCTAAACTCAGGTATGTTAATTCCAGGGCAACCTGGGCTACATAGAAACTTGTCTCAAAAGAAGAAAATTTGGCAAAACAAAGTATAATGAAGAAAATATACATATTAAATGAAATGAACTGTAAGTGGGATAAACTTTTAAGAGAGTCATGCCTAGATACATTTTAATCCAACACATACAAGACACAACACATACTGTGCATGACGCATAGCTAATACACAACAGAAACAATACAACACACAGCATATGCATAGCATAGCATATATGAAACACTATAACTCAGCATATGCACAGCATACCATAAATATAATACATAGCATATAGACAACACTGGGCACACACAACACAATATAAAAGTATAGTATCCATAGCATACAATACATAACATTGTATGCCTCACATTAGAGAATACAACACAATATACACACAGCTTATATAACAGTATATACAGCATACAATGGTACATATACATGCCACAAATGTGTAATATATGACATAACCACATAATATAATTCACACGTGGACAACACAGCATGCAGAACACATGCACATCACCTAACATAAATACACAACACACTTCCTGATTTCTAAACCAATTATGCTAAGTGCAAGAGAGGATTCTTGCTTTTTTGTGATTTTGCTTTCTTATCCAAGAACAGCAAAGGTGTTTATTTGCTCTGTGTGAATTTGACATAAGTCCTATAACAGGCTGGCCAAAGGCTAGCAGCTGATGGCGACTTTTGTGAAATGTGCTCCACTCTAGGCTTTTTGTTCTCTGTGAGTGACTCCACCTCAGTGTTACAGACACTGCTTCTCTTTTGTTGGGTCCTGGGATCAACTTCAGGTCATCAGGCTTGGTGTCAAGATCTTGCCTTTATAAAGGCATAATTTCTTTTCTCTATTGTTAGATCCAATTTCATTATATTTTGTTGGATTCAAACTGGTGATATCTTGGTGGAAATTTTGCTTCTGTATTCTTTTGAGATATTGTGTAATTGTATGATTACCTTGTTTTAGGATTCTGGCATGTGTCATAGGATAAGTTGGGAAATATATGGTCTGCTTCTGCCCTCTGGAAGAAACTAAAGAATAGGTCTAACTCCTTTGAATATGTGGTAAAATGTCATTGACACCAGGCCTATGAATTGTTAGTTCAGTGTACTTATAGACTGACTAAGATTTTTATTTCTTCCTATATAAACTTTTGATGGGTGGTGTCATTAAAGAACTTGGTTTACTGTGTCATTGTCATATGGTTATCATTGACAGAACTAAAGGTACTCACAGTATTTCTTGAGGTTTTTTTCAGGGTCATAAGATCAGTAATGATATTTCTTTCCTTTTTCCTTCTGATATTTGTGATGCTTAACCTTTTCCTCAGTCATTCTGGATAAGTATAATTTTTTTCAAAACCAAGATAATTCTGTTGCTTGATTTTTTTGCTTATTTTACCAATCTTTTAGACTTCATCATTTAGTTTCTGGTTAAAGTGTGTTAAAAAGTGCAGTGACAACTGTACACTTGTCTGTTCTTCTAGTATGTGTTAATGCTTAGGCTGTATTAGTTTTGTGCCATCGTGACTATAGTGCCTGACTTTTAGTTAGTATTCAAATGGTATTTTTTCACACATTTAGCATTAGAACCCACGAGATAGATAAAATGGCCCAAGTCTCCCCAAAGTTTATTAAAAGTAAGGTCTTGTTAAGTAATATAAAATGCTCTTAGATCACTGTGAATGTTAATGATAGACCTTTATTTTAAGCACCAGTTTTTTTTTGTTTTTTTTTTTAATTTTTTTTTCTGGGTTTTCCGGCAAGAGCCAGAAAACCTGCTAGACAAATTCTAAAAGAGCTGTAACACACTTTAAGCACCAGTTTTAATGTTCATTTTTCACTTAAATAAGTTAAGATGTTGGAGGTCAGGGTGATTTGAATTCTTGATAGCTGGTAGACCCTTTCCTGGATTCCACTTCTCTGGAGCAGGAGACTGCCAGCCCAGCAGCCAGCTTGAACACTCATCAGATGCCATGAAGAAACTGTAGGGCAACCATAACTAATTGCTGCCGAAGTACAACTCCAGCTCTAAAAGACACCATCCAGCCACATCTGTGGATTCTGCTGGACCAACTTTATGGCCATCAAAAGCCTCAGTGAAACTCAGGCCAGAGATGGTGTGGGAAGTCCTTCTGTATATGTGTTACTTTTATTGGTTAATGAATAAAGCTGCTTTCACCTATGGCAGGGCAGAATTCCAAGCAGATAGAGGAAAAAAGAAGGTGAAGTCAAAGAGACACCATGTAGCCACCAAAGGAGAAAGATGCCCACCCAGGAACCTTACCATTAAACCATGAGACTCATGGTAAAATACAAAATAGTAGGAATAGGTCAATTTAAGATGTAAGAGTTAGTTCATAAGAACTAACAAGCAGTGTTGTACTTAATATAGTTTCTGTGTAATTATTTAGGGTCTGGGAGGCCAGGAAACAAACAAGCAGCCTCTGTCTACAGGGGATCACTTCCCCTGGTGGCCCATCAGAAATTCTGTGAGTGATACACAGTTCTCTCTCTCTCTCTCTCTCTCTCTCTCTCTCTCTCTCTCTCTCTCTCTCTCTCTCTCTTTCTTTCTACAGGGTTTCTCTGTAGTTTTGTAGCCTGTCATGGAACTAGCTCTTGTAGACCAGGCTGGCCTCGAACTCACAGTGATCTGTCTGCCTCTGCCTCCTGAGTGCTAGGATTAAAGGTTTGCTACACCTTTTTTCCTGGTTTTATAATCAGACTGCTCAGTTCGTTCTCTGAGTCAGCTGGGAGACACCCTCTAATGCCATCTCTCATTGTTTTAACATTAGGCCTATTAACAGGCTTCTCTTGAACTGTCTTTTCTTGCCTACATTTAAGCTTCTTCATCAGTAGTGTGGGCTGAGCTAGTAACAAAGAGATATCTGGAGTGAAAAAGTATCAGTGGTGGGGTCAATAGATGATAGTCACAAAATGCCTGAAGAGTTCCAGAGAGGATGTAGGACAGATAAAGTGGAGCGGAAGCAATAGACACAATAAGGGATAAAGTAGAGAAAGTGAGGGGATGGAGACCCAAAGCTGACAAAAGATAGAAGGATGTGAGGAGCCACAAAAGAAAAGTTGCATGTCCTAGTCTCTGGCTGAGTACCAGAAAACCATCAAGGGCCTCACCCAAGCCCCTCAACTGTGACAGTAGTTCATGTCACATCCCCCAAGACCTATTCTGGGTTGTAACACTACCAAACACCATCTGCTGCATACAGTTGCTGCAAAGTGCTAGGCCTGCTGGTAGTTAAAGCACAATGAGCCTCCAACCCATGGACCTAAAGTTATAGTTCTAAAGCCTGGAACAATGGACTCTCAGTCATTTAGACTTAGATACATAAGCCTGTGGGGTTTTCAGTCCAACCCACATGCCTTAGTTTATCAAGGACATGGTACTGCCAATACAATACTCCTTTGCCTACTCAAAATTTCTATCCAGATGGAACAGGACTCCAACTTACTCTCTATGTCCCTGTTTGACTGGTTCTCTGTCTGTCTCATCTTTCTTGCTGTTTGGAAACAAATAAGTGGAAGCACATCTCCATCACTCATGGTGGCCAGCATCCTCTCCTACATATTGACACATGATACATGTAAGGACCAAGTCTTACCTGGACACACTCCTCTGAGGCAGGTAGCTGAAACCTTTTCTTCCCGGAGAAGGCCTCATGTCCCAGGAAGTGTAGCAATTGCTGCCAGGTCACTTAGAGTTGGCAACACCAGGAGCCAGAGCAAACTTAATTTCACTCACTTCCCTGTACATAGAGTAATACAGTGTCATCATTCAACCATAAAGAAGAATGGAAATAGGCCATTCCCAGGAAAGTAGATTGTCCTGTTAAGTATAATAAGCCAGACTTAGACAAAGTAGCATGTTTTCTTTCATATGCAGAAGATATATATATATATACATATATATATTAAAGATATATAATATATATAATAAAGATACATATATATTAGTTTTTAAAAGTAAGACATAAAAATAGAAGTGGATAGGGCTGGAGAGATGGCTCAGAGGTTAAGAACATTGATTGCTCTTCCAGTCCACCCCTCATCTACTCTTCCTAATGGATAATGGGGAGTCAACAAAGTTAGGCACATTGATTTAGGGCAGGACCAAGCTCCTCTCCCCTGCATTAAGGCTGAGCATTGCATCCCACCACAGGGAATAGGTTCCAACAAGCTAGCTCATGTACCAGATAATCATGTACCATTATCATCATGGCAGGACATGGTGGCATACAGGCAGACATGATCCTGGAAAAGGAGCTATGATAAGAGTCCTACACCTTCATCCGCAGGCAATAGGAAGTGAACTCTCCCACATTTGGGAGCATATATCAGATCGCAAGCCCAGCCCACCCCCACAGTGACACACTTCCTCCAACAAGGCCACACTTCCTAACAGTGCCACTACCTATGTACCCAGCATTCAAACACATGAGTCTCTGAGGCCATACCTATTCAAACCACCACAGTCCAGAAATTGGACCGTTAATAGTGTGAACACAGTTCTTCATAAAGTATTTCTGTGATCTTTCATTTGTATAAGGGACTCCTCCATTATTAGTACAAACATAATCCTTTATTTACATGAAGGTCTGCCATAATTGGTACAAAACTTGTTCATACCCTTTCTGATTGTACAACCAGTTTGCTTGGTTCACTTTTGATTCAGCTCTATAGCTGAATGTATGATAGCTGGTGTTGCAACATTAAGCCAGTAATAAGGCTTCTGGGGGGTGGTCTTTCCATGCTTGCTTTTCATCTTCACCATTTATGATGGCATTTCATTTGTATTTTAATAAATAAAGTTTGCCTGAAGATCAGAAAAGCAAAACAGCTGCACTGGCCAGCCTTACAGACTAAGCAGCAATGACACACACCTATAATCCCAGTAGCCACACTAGCTTGCCATAGAAACCAGGCAGTAGTGGTGCACCCCTTTAATCCCAGAACTAGAGAGGATTATAAAATGGGAGGAGACGTCTCTCAGTCTCATTTCGAGATTACTGGAGGCAGGATCGCCATTTCAGACTGAGGTCGAGGTAAGAGCCAGTGGGTGGCTGTTTTGCTTTTCTGGCCTTCAGGTTGAACCTCAATATCTGTCTCTGGGTTTTTATTAATTGTGCATCAACCATTAGCAGAGCAGGATGACCTAGTTAACAGCTGCAAGTAGTGGCGCTAGTGTCGCAAGCTCCCAAATAGGCCTTGCGGGTTTCAGTGTGTCCGCTGTAACTGTTGCCTCTGTTTCCCCTTCCTTCACAAAGGTAAAGAGTGGCAGTACTGGCAGGACAACAGTGGTGACAGTGACAGTCACCGCAACTGGCAATAGCAATGAGAGGCAACCAAACTCTGAGAGAACAGCCAGGGCCAAAATGACAAGTAGAGGAAACAGATACAAGGAGGGATGGTGGCAGTAAACAACAGACATTGGATATCAAAGAGCTGAACGTGTGTGGCTGTAGGGATAAGGGTCATAGTACTCAAGGCCTATGTGTAAGAGAGCTCTAACACTCTTGTCGTCTCCTGCTGCTGCGCAAGACTTCCAAAAACCCAAGGAATAAAACATCTGCAAAGTTCCCAGGCTGCTCTGGTTAAAGACAAATTAACAAGCTTCTTTTGTGCCTGTTTCCTTCAAGCTGGGCATGATTAATGCTACCTTGAATCAAAGCAGCTGTGTTTATCTGCATGCAATCCCATACGGAGGAAGGGGAAAGGCTCACAAAGTGTCTCCCCAAGGGTACATAAGTAATAACAATTTCTCATAGGAGGAGACCCATTAGTGGCATTGCCAGCCCCACTGATGTAGCTTTGGTGATGCCGCTGCCTACGTCACATATGCTCCTGTAAGTGGCTTCTCACCCAGGCTTCTATCAGTAATCTCACAGAACTCATTGGTTTGTCACAATAGACTTGAACGGGACCATTGATTTGCTCTATTATTCCTCTCTGTATCTAGGGTAAATAGAAATTAGCTACCCAGGAAATGTTATACAAGGCTTGGCACCCAAACAGGGCCTTGGCATAGCCAGAGATGAGCCTCAAAAGATTTGTGTATCTCCTGTAATAAGTATGCATTTGAGGCTGAGCAGTCCAAGGGTTGAATGCTTACAGAAGAAATCCCAGGATGGTCATCATCCTCTATGTGGTATGGAGTTATGAACCTCCTTGCTGAGTGGGGTCTACTGCTTGAGTACAAGATGCTCTTCAAATGACCAATGAACTAGAGAATATTTTGCAACCCTGAAAGCACCACATATGGGACAGAGTTGTAAGGAGGCCACGGTAAGGAACTCTAACAGGCCTGAGCATGGCAAAGATGCTGCTGACGGGTTTTGTTCTTTTCTCCCTTTTCCTCCCTTGCTAAAAACCTTTACATTACATTCCTAAAACTCGCCCCCAAGGTCCATTCTCTGTATGGCCACTGACTCATTCCTGAGGCTCAACACCAAGATCCAACAATCAAAATTCATTATTTGGGTAATATATCCAGTCAGGGCTTACCAACTCACTCTGGCACAGAATCACCTTTTTTTTCCTCAAAAACACACTCCTGCAAAAACAAAACAAAACACCCCTGCTTTCTAAAGCTTGCTGCTGCTTGCCTTCTGCCTTTGTAGCCTACCCCGAGCTTGCCCCTCCAGGGTAATAAATCTCCTTTGTGCTGAGAATTTGGTGTCTGGGTCTGTCCTGTACCAACTGGGGGCGGCGGGGAAGGGGGCGATCCCTTAACATTGGTTCCAGAAATCGAATCATAACCAGATCGATCTACAGGAGCCCCCACTCAGTTCTCACTCTTTCCAGACCAGTTGGTTCCCAGTCACTTCATCCAACAGCAGTTAATTGGTGAGTTTTCCCTTACTAGCCATCCTAAACATTCCACAAGACACAGGGTGATGACTGGTGGGAGTCATATATCCTTGCTCTGTCTTCTGGGGGTGGGGAGAATGCACCCCACCACGGCCTTCGGTGTTCAGTGCACCCCACCACGGCCTTCAGTGTTCAGTTCAGCTTGACTGGCAGATTTCCTTTCACTTTTGGTGGCCCCTCTTGGTGACTGAGCTTAGTTGATGACTCCTCCCTCATAGAGGCCTCCTTAACAGTCACTAGAAACCAGAGGATGACCTGGCTAGCCAGACAACAGTGGTGATGGGATTTGCTCCCTGTAGCCCGACTGAAAACTCCAACTCACACACATTACTAAAACATTTTAACACTCACAATAGCCCTTCTATTCCCTAGAAAAATCAAGCAAAAGGATAACCTTTACAATTTTATGGGAACGGACCGAAGGAGATATTACCTCCCCTTACCCCTCCCTCCTCTCCTCTTCCAGATGTCCAGTGCCTCAGTCAGTCCCCGTCAGCTTTTCCAAAAGTTTCCCCTCGGCTCTTTGCTTTTCCTTTGCAGTTTCTGTTCTCCGATTGTCCATTCAAACCTCTGCTACTGCTCCAAAGAAACACTGACAGCCCAGTGCTCTGGGCCCGCCCCCTCGGTCGGTCCTGCCACCTTTCTGAAGTCTCCCTGTCCTTAGGCAACCCCCCGCCAGGACCCTCCCCCACTCCCCCCCCCCCCCCCCCGCTACCCTAGAGCCTCAGGAGCTCCCCTCCACTGCTGCTGCCAAAGAGCACGCGGCGGTTGCTCCAGCTGTCCTGACTCCTCCGAAAGGCCTTTCCTTCAAGCTGCTTCCAGAACTCACAAACTCGCCAAAGCCCCACCTCCTCCCTCCGCAGTCTCCAGGAGCCTGTCCCCCTCCAGCAGCTCTGCCTCCTCCTGTCTTTCATCGCAAGCCCGTGGTTGACCCCGCCACACTCACCCCTGTGCCATCCCTGCTTCCGCTGTTGTGTTACAGAGGCTTCTCCCTTCCTGAAGCCAAATACCCCACTTTTGATTCAGCCTATTCCTCGCTAGGCCTGCCCAGTCTACAGGGCCCACCCCAACAGGAAGGGACACGGCCCAAACCAGGTGTCTCTGAACCAAGCTGACATTTACCAGCTCCCTTTCCCTGACATTCTCATCTCTCTAGCTTTCTCTCACCTCTCTCCAGGAGCTGCAATATACTTTGTGACCCTTGTCACCCCTCATCTTCCTCTGCCCTCTCCCTCCTTGTCAGCCACGTTCTCAACCCTTTCGTGGCCTGAAAACTGAAACTCTGCCTGCGGACTACACTATCTCTCAGCTCTCACCTGCCTCTTCAGTTTCTGCTCTCAGCCACCCCCTAAAGTTCTCTCTCCCGGCAACTGCCGGCTCAGGGTTCCAGCTTACACAAACGCAGGATCTCCAGATCTCTGCTCTACGCTTCCGGAACTTTCATATTCTCTCTCTCTCCTTGGACTTGGACTACACACATCTGATTTATATATGTTCTTAAATTTAAGTCGCAAATCAGACACACTAGATAGATGGTTCTCAACTCTTGGAAAATCTGCTGAATATGACATTCGAAATATTTAAACTTTCTGTTCTAGAGATATTCATGCCTAGCACATATCTAATAACTCCAAAGAAGACTATTAAGTTTTTTCCTTTGGCCCGATAAGCCTCTCTGCCGATGCAATAATCCAAATTGTACCAAATCAGACTGAATTAGGAAAGGCCCAGGTTTAATGAATGCCAACTCTCCTGGGTGGCTCCCAGGAAAACACGGAGAGGGGAAAATAACCAAATCGACCACCGGAAAGAGAAAAGGGAAGACCGTGTGTTCATTTTCTGGGGGCAGGTTAAATAGCCTGTGGGAGTGGTCTTGACCCTCCCTGGGGAGGGGTCACCGTTTGGTCAGAAGCATCACCCCAGCTCCCTAACATCCCTTTATACAAAAAGTCTAGATTGTTTGTCTGAGGGCTTCACCCCAGTTCCTGGCATAAGACCCCTCCCCAGGGAGGGTCAAGAAAGCCCACCAAATGGTAACCCCTCCCCAGGGAAGGTCGGGACCACTCGCACAGGCTATTTAAACTGCCCCCAGCAAATGAACACATGGTCTCCCCTTTTCTCTTTCCGGTGGTCGATTTGGTGGTCTCTCTCAGCTCGCTCTCTTTTTCCATCTCCATGCTTCCCTGGGGTCACCAGGAGAGCATTCCATTAAACATGGCCATCTTTTAATTCGGCTTAATTCAGCCTGATTGGAATTATTTGCGTCTGCAGAGAGGCTCGTCTAAGAGAAATATCTAATATTTAGAGGTTGCATGTGGCGGGGGGCTGCTTTTCCCATGGTCCCAGGGCCACATGGGAAAAACACCCTTCTCATGCGTGCTCTCTGCCTGGCTAAGATCCGCTTGAGTTCCTCTTTTTGAGTACATGCAGCTGGTGGGGGAACGGGACATTTGTGCTTCTTTATTTTCATCGATTTTGGGGCTTTTCCGTGGGAGTCACAATCGTGCTGGAGGTCTGATTCAAGCCAAGAGTCAAGCCTCACTGAGGTGAGACTCAGGTGACAGAGATATCTGCCACTCATTTCTCACGAAGGTGACCTCCCCACCTTTTTGACTCAAGAGCTCTGTCCTGGTAGATGGATTGAGGCAGGCTTGAGTTCCAAGATTTGGCATGGGCTCCTAAATAAGTTCTTGCAATTCAAAGGCAGATCCTCAAACGCACTTGAGCTGCCTTTAACAAAAAATCCTTTTAAATTGGGACTACCTAACACCTAATGAAAAAGCAAGCAAGCTCCCATAAGTCCATGTTTCTAGATGTGTGCTAATCTGGTCCTTAATGGCACCAGTCCTGTGTGCTTCCCTAGATTCTGCCACCTACCTATACTGGGATTTTTAAGTTGGTCAACTGAGACAGGTTCCTAAAAGTGTTTTGTCTGTCTCTTAGAATAATGTGACCACAGTATGTCTGTGTGAATATATGGGTGTGTTTTCACAATATGCTTGCTTTATTTCTCTGTGAATGTGTATTTGATTTTACAGTATGCTTGTTTTATTTCTCTGTGTGTATGTGTGTGTATTTTAAGATCTGTAAAATTTATATCTCCATGGCTTAGTGGTTAAGAGCATTGCCTGCTCTTCCAAAAGTCCTGAGTTCAATTCCCAGCAACCATATGGTAGCTCACAACCATCTGTAGTGAGATCTGGTGCCCTCTCTGACCTGCAGGCACACATGTTGGCAGATATTGTATGCATAATAAATGAATAAATATTTTTAAAAAAATTATATCTCCAGATTACAACAGCTCTGGAAAAATACAAACATGTGGGTAACCCCCATTTTGCCCCCACCACCATGGTGGGTAAGAGTACACACATGTGCTAATATTCTTTGACTTATTAAAATATTAATTTTAATCTTCTTACATTTACCAGCATTGGTAAGCTGTAATTAATAGGATAAAATACATGTCTAAATTTAGCTTATATGTCTAGTTTAAATATAACAGATAATGGTACTCAATTCTCAAGGGCCTTTACAGTGTTGTGATTCAGTTGCCCTCACTCCCCCTGACTGACAGCAGAACTTCCTTGTGGTCTGTAATTGACAAGGATGTTTGTGTTCTTTCTGGCGGGTGGGTCTCCACAGAAGGAGTAGAGGTATAAAAGGTTGCTGGGCAAAATAAAGGTTGCTTTTCTTCCACCTGAAAAGAAGCCTCCGTGTCTCAATCCCGGCGTGTGCGCGCACACGTGCGCGCGCGCACACACACACACACACACACACACCGCCAGTCTTGGCTATCCAGGCTGCGCTGGCGCAGCATACAGATCTGAGACTATGGCATTTAACAAAAGAGATTCTAACGCAGAGACACGCCAGCTCCCACAGCATCCTATAGCTCCTCAAGAAGATACATAGTTACAGAAGACCTTTCTCCTTGAGGCTTGCAATTGGGTTTTGCAAAGCCACCCACACAGCAAAATGTGGCCTTACACCTCTTCAGCTTCCTGGATACCACCTGGGGAATTGATCTTCTCATCCTGCCAAAACAAGTAGACTAAATCTTCCCCACCACAGGAAAGTCTTTGAACCACTTGTACTCAGCAGCTAAAGGCAAGCACTGCTTGTAGGCTGCTGTTCTCAAAGGACAAAGGACAAAGCCTGTGTAGCTTAAAAAAAAAAGCTGTCTCATTTCTGCTCATTTATCCTCCTTAAATATAATGGTATTTGATGACTTAAGGTACTGGTAGCTCATTACTTCATTTGTTAAGTTTCCTGTTAAAATACAGACAGGTGTGCCTCTTTAACAGGCTTCATAGTCCAGGACTAGCAGGTTTCAGTGTATCTTCAGAGGCTTAGCATTACCAATTCCCTTTAACAAAATATCTGCGGGTTCCTGAAAAATTTCTGCTGTGTTATCAAAAATTAGGTCTGGTAAAAAACTAACAGTGTCCAGAGCGTATTTTAACCCCACCCATTTTCAAGCATATTTTACAGGTCACTCCTGTTGTCTGAGCCAAGACCAACTTACAAAGTGCTCTCCAGACAGTGCCAACACCTGCGCCAGCTCCTGGAACTTCACCATTGGTACCAACTCTCCTGGATCAAGGACACCTACCAACTAAAATCTGGTTTTATCTGCTGTTGTGTCCCACTTATAACCCGAGCCTCAGCTGTACAATGAGGGCACTTCTCTCCCATTCTTTCTGGCAGTTAGTGACTCTTCCCATGACTAGCCCCATTCACAGGGCCAATAATAACAATATATTCTTTCTCCTAGCCACCTGCCTTCTCATCTCCCTCAAGAAACAGCTGCTTGAGGTCTCCAGGAGGACAGTAAACTAAACAAAGACAAGGCACAACAACCACAGCTCCCCCTGGATTTTGGAAATGATAAAACTGAGCTAAAACTGCCCACACTTGGCATGCTGCCATGGCTTTGCTCAAACTGTAAACATTTTTGGGCCAATTGCTGTATTCTGCCCAGTCAAAATAAGGTCAGTTTTCCCAAGTTTCTCTAAAAAAACATCTCTCTGACCTGAATCTGACAGCCAAACGCCCACTGCCCCATATGACAGCAAAAGACCTGCCATCACTTCCCAGCCATCCAGACCTCAGGGCTACTATCTAATGAAAAAGTCTCTGAATTTTGATTAATACATAACCATACCTCCTACAATAATTTAGCCTTCTCAGATATCTGGTGATATTGACTGACCTACCTAAGCCCACACCAAACACTGTTAGGAGTATAGAATCTCACTTCTGGGTCACATTGCTTCATCACGTTCCTCTGTTACTTTGTACTCAGCAGCTAACGGCAAGCACTGCTTCTAGGCTGGTATTCTCCAAGGATGTTTTAAGATATAAAATGCAAGTTATAAAGGTGTGAGGATAAGTACAAGTTACCAAATTTCTCTCTCACGCTGTCTTTCATAGCCTTAAAAAAACTTTACATTGGGCAAAAACGTCTGTCACAGGCATTCTGACATAAATATGCTACTGTTTATACAATGTATATGTCTAGAACTTATATTTTCACAAACTCAAAATATTCTTGTGATTTTGAGGAACCCGAATTAAAGGATCCACCTTAAACAGCTCAGATACATCCCTCTCAATTCCAAGGTCACCCCTCTCAATTCCCTGGTCCTAAACATTTTTCCTTTCTAAACTTTGTTCTCTGTTCTGTCAACACCTTGCCAGGTCCAAGAGAAACTGGATAGTTCCATACCACAAACCATAGACAGGAGTAAAGCAACCAGCTACCCCAGGTTGTGACTAGCACCCAGATTTTTCAGGCCCCTCCCCCCAAGACAATGCTCACAAATAAGCAGGAAACCGTCTTGAGAAACCACTGTCTCAATTCTCTCAATCTGCCATGTTTAACCTCCACCTTTCTTATTATAAGAGAAAGATGGAAATGTTATTATTTTGCTGACCTCTGTCACTTGGGTACCCTGTCCCTTTAAGAGACAAGCTCTGCCCATTCCCAACCTTCCCCCCATTCAACCAAAGCAAGCAGATCCCCCTGCCTTCTCTCCAGCCTGCTCTCTCTCTTCCCATCCCTCTTCTGAAGAAGTAACTACTGTACCTCTCCCTTTTTCCCCCTTCTTCCCCTTCCCCCCCCTGTGCTTCCCTTTCTCCTTCATAACTCACTAAATAAACTCTATACCCAAACTCGCTACATGGCAAATCTGCCTCACCCGCCGCAGTCTCCCACCCTCCAAAGGCCTCGGGTGACCTGCCACTGCCCCTTATGAGAC